GAAGGAGAGAGAGAGAGAAAGAGAGAGAGAGAATGAGAAAGCAAGGTCCTGGACTCGAACTACAGTTGGCCATGTGGGAGTAGAGTGCCCTTAGTCTGCATGCCACCTACCAGCCCCAGGTCATATTTTTTTTTTAATTTTCCATCTTTTCTCTTTTTATCAATGAATTAAAATATATAGGATTAGTTGAAAAATATGAAGAATTTTTTTTCTTGGAGAAGTTTTCGCAATAGGGCGCATGCGCTCTCCAGACAGACAGAGAGAGACATAGAGACAGAAAGCGAGAAAGCACCCCCCAGGGGGGATGGTCACACCGCAATCCCTTCTCCTCCATTCTCCTCTCAGGATCTTGGGCACGCACGCACACGCGCCTGGTGTGAGTTTTAAGCCACTGGGTCCGGGACGTGAACCGCAGTTGACTACATGGGAGTCCAGCGACATAGCCATTACGCTAACTGCTGGTTCCCAAAAATATGAAGAATTTTGAAAACCTGTTTGAAACTGTAAAATTCATGTCTATGTATTTAAACAAATGTATTATTTGCTTCAGAGAGAAGCCAGTGTAGTTTGTATATTCTGATATATGTGACATAGAGAGAGATTTCCCACATAACTGGGTAAGATGTCTTTATTAACAAAATATTTGCTTTGGAATGAAAATCTACTCCATTCCATGCCAAATTACCACTGGAAGAGCAAATTTTTGCTATTATGTTCTAAAGATAGAGTTATATTTTTTTTAATTTTGGAAAAAATAGAAATTTATAAAAAATGTTTTGATAGACTAATTTAGGTCTCTTTATTTTTCTTATTTTTATGTCTTCATTTTGACAGAGTGTATTATCCAGTGATTTTGGGTAAAAATATTGATGGGAGATTCTTTGAAATTTTATTAGTGTACTTTGTACTCTAAATTTTGAGCAACAATTTGGATGTAATCTTAAAAATATCCCTTAGACATTCCCTTGAATGTTCATTCTCTTACATGAGTCCTCCAAGGTTCAAATCTATTCTTGCCATCTTTCAGGTCTCTGCTTTTTGTTGGACTTTCTGAGAGAACTTGCCAACTTTATCTTCCAGACCAACTATGGGATCTTACATTTGCTCACTCACCCTTCCTTCCTTCCTTCCTTCCTTCCTTTCTTCCTTC